ACTTTCAGAGGATCTCCAATTAGATTCACAGATGACTTCTCATAAGAAACCATATTATAGGCTAGAAGAGAATGGTAAGATATAGTCCATGTCTTAAGGAAAAAGCTGCCAACTCAGATTAATGTACCATAAAGGAATGAAGGTGAAATAAAGACCTTCCATAACAAACAGAAATGGAAAGAATTTGTCAACCCTCATCCAACCTTACAAAAGATCCTTAAAGATGTGCTACACACAGAAACACAGAAATATAGACATCATTACAAAAGAATGTGAAGGCAGAATTTCCCCTAATACAAAAGAAATCCAAAGTAAATAATTGGAATACTTATGGGAAAATGGGAGGGCCAAGTCATTACTTATCAATAGTCACCTTGAACATAATGGCCTCAACTCTCCAGTTAAAAGACACAGACTGGCTGAATGGATTAAAAAAACAAAACTCATCAATTTTCTGCCTACAAGAAACACATCTCACCAACAATGATACACGTAGACTGAAAGTAAAAAGATGGAAAAAGATATTCTATGCTAACATAAAGCTAAAAAGGAGAGGTGTAGCCATCCTACTATCAGACAAAATATACTTTAATATAACAACTCTTAGATGAAGAAGGACACTATGTAACAAGGGATCAGCTTAACAGGAAGATATAACTATAATAAATGCATATAAACTCAATTACAGTGTGCTTGGCTATTCAAAAGAAATGTCAATGGATCTAAAGGGAGAAAAAGACTCCAATACAATAGTAATGGTGGATTTCAACACCTCACTTTCATCATTAGAAGATCAACTAGACAGAAAATCAATAAAGAAACAAAGCTACTTGACACTATGGAACAAATGGACCTAACTGATATCTACAGAACTTTTTACCCCACAGTTGCAGAGTGCACATTTTTCTCATCAGTGCATGGAACTTTCTTTAGGATAGATTATATGCTAGGCTGTAAAGCAAGTCTCAACAATTTCAAAAAATTCAAAATCATACTATGCATTTTCTCTGACCACAATAGAATGAAGCTGGAAATCACAACTCAAGAGTCTCCAGATGATATGCAAACACAAGGAAACTCAACAACATTTTCTTGAATGAACAATGGTTCATGAAGAAATAAAAAAAAATTCTAGAAACAAATGAAGATGACAATACACCATATCAAAACTTATGGGATACAATAAAAGCAGTGTAAGAGGGAAATTTATAACAATCGGTACCTACATGAAGAAATTGGAAAAGTACCAAATTAAATGATTTATCAATGCATTTCAAGGGCTTAGAAGAACAATAACAAATGAAATCCCAAATTAGCAGGGGAAAAGAAATGATTAAAATTAGAGAAGAAATAAAATTGAAACATAAAATTACAAAACATAGTGAAATGGAGAGCTGGGTTTTTGAAAAATAAATGCAATTGATATACCAATGACTCAACTACCCAAAAAAATGAGAGAGAAAACCCAAATCAATACAATTAGAAATGAAAAAGGAAATTTAATAGCAGATACCACAGAAATAGAGAGAATCATCAAAAAATTACTACAAAGAGCTATGACAACAAATTAAGAAACCAAAAAGTAATGGATAGATTCCTAGGCACATAAAATCTATAAAAGTTGAGTCATGAAGACATAGAAAACCAATAAGCAAGGTGAAAACTGAATCAGTAATAAAGACCTTCCCAACAAAGATAACCTCAGGACCAGACAGCTTCACTGTTGAATTCTACCAGAAGTTGAAAGAACTAATTCTAATTCTTCTCAAGCTATTCAAAACAATTGAAAGAGAGGGAATCCTACTAAACCCCTTCTGTGAAGCCTGCATTACCTTAATTTCTAAACCAGAAGAAGATACGACAGAGAAAGAGGACTTTAGATCAATCTATCTGATGAACAAGATGAAAAAATCCTCAATAAAATATTAGCTAATTGGATCTAGGAACACATCAGAAAGATCATTCACTTGGACCAAGTGGGATTTATACTAGGTAGGCAGGTATGCGTCAACATTTGCAGTTCAGTTAATGTGATACATAACATTTACAAACTGAAGAAAAAAGACATATGATTATCTCAATAGATGAAGAGAAAGCATTTGATAAAATACAACACGCTTTCATGATGAAAACCTTAAGTAAATTGAGTATAGAAGGGACATTCCTCAACACAATCAAGACAATTTTTGACAAACCCCAGCTAGCATCCTACAGAATGGGGAAAATGTGGAAGCATTTCCCCTAAGATTGGGAATCGGAAAAGGATGCCCACTCTCACCATTTCTACTCAATATAGTCCTGGAAGTTTTAGCCAGAGCCATTAAGCAAGAAAAAGCAATCAGAGGGATACTACCTAGAAAGGAGGAAATCAAACTATTCCTGTTTGCAGATGACATGATTCTGTATATAGGGGATCCAAAAAACTTAACTGAGAGACCACTGGGACTCATAAAAGTTTGGTAAAGTGGCAGAATATAAAATCAGCACAGAAAAATCAATGATCTTTGTATTTATAGAGAATGCCATGGCTGAGAAAGAACATTTAAGATCAGAACCATTCACACTAGCTCCAAAAAGAAACAAATACCTAGAAATAAATTTAATCAAGGGTGTCAAAGATCTCTATGATGAAAGTTATGAAACACTAATGAACAAAATAGGAGAATACATTAAAAATGGAAAAATCTTCCATGTTCATGGATTGGAAGAATCAACATCAACAAAATATCCATACTACCAAAAGCAATTTACAGATTCAATACAATCCCAATCAAAATACCAACAACATTCTTTGCAGAGTTAGGAAAAATCATACTAAATTTCATATGGAAACACACGGGACCCTGAATAGCTAAAACAATCTTATACAATAAAAGCAAAGCAGGAAGCACAACAATATCTGATTTTAAGACATACTGCTGGGAAGTTATAATCAGAACAGCTTGGTACTGGCACAAAAACAGACTTGTAGACCAATGAAACAAAATAGAAACTCCAAAAATCAATCCACATATCTATAACCCACTTACCTTTGACAAAGGAGCTAAAATCAATCACTAGATCAAGGACAGTCTCTTCAACAAGTGGTGCTGGGACAATTGGATCTCCACATTCAGAAACATGAAACTAGACCCATACCTTACACCTTACACAAAAATCCACTCAAAATGGATCAAAGACCTAAATCTACAACCTGAAACCATCAAATTATTAGAAAAAATTGAGGAAACACTGCAAGACATTGACATAAGCAAAGATTTCTTGGATAAGACCCCAGAAGCACAGGCAATCAAAGCCAAAATTGACAAATGGGAATACACCAAGCTGATAAGCTTCTGTACTGCAAAAGGAACACTCAGCAAAGTGAGGAGGCAATTGACATAATGGGAGAAAATATTTGAAAACTATGCAATTGATAAAGGGTTAACATCCAGAATCTATAGAGTTCAAGAAGCTCAACAACAACAAAAAAATTAGTCCAGTTAAGAAATGGTCAAAGGACTTGAATAGGCATTTCAAAAAAGGAAATTCAAATGGTAAACAGAGACTTGAGAAAATGCTTAGGATCACTAGCCATCAGGAAAATGCAAATCAAAACCACAGTGAGGTTTCGCCTCACCCCAGTTAGAATGGCTCTCATGTAGAAATCAACAAACACATGCTGACAAGGTTGTGGTAGACAAGGTACCCTAATCCAGTGTTGGTGTGAATGCAAACTGGTGTAGCCACTGTGGAAGACAATATGGAGACACCTTAGAAATCTGAATATAGACCTACCATATGATTTAGCCATTCTACTCCTGGGAATATATCAAAAGAAATCAGCATCTGAAAGAGTTATCTGTACCTCCATGTTCACTGTAGCACAATTCAAAGTAGCTAAGATATGGAAAGTGTCCATCAACTGTTGACTGGATAAAGAAATTATTGTGTATGTATACACTATGGAGTACTACTCAGCTGTAAAAAAAAAAAAAGAAATCCTGCCTTTTGCAACAAAATGTATACAACTGGAAACTATTATACTTAGTGAAATAAGCTAGTCCCCAAAAGACAGATATCATATTTTCCCCCTGATCTTAGGTAACTAACATAGTACCTGAAATATAATGTTTAGGTGTGAAATGGACATTTTGAGATTTGATGATTGTTTACAACCTTTGTCATTCTGTTGAGGAACAGTGTATTGTTTTCTTTCATACTATTTTTTTGAACTCTTTTACTTAGTGTAGGGTTAACTTTATGATTATTAAGTAAACTGAAAATAGATCTTTGTAAAAATTAAGAGTGGGAATGTGAGAGGGAGGAGGAAGAAGGGCTGGAACTGGCTAGGAGGGAGAGTAGAGGGGGTAAGTGTCACAATGTTCCTAAATCTGTATATATGAAATACATGAAACTTGTATAAATTAAATACAAATAAATGTGGATGAATATTAAAAATGAATTATTATATGATCTTTAAATTCTATTACCAGTCTTTTTATACCCCAAAGAAATGATAAAAGCTATAATAAAACAGAAATTTATGCATTATATGTTCATAGTAACATTATTCAAAGTTGCCACAAGGCACAAACAACACAATTGATGAGTGGATATTTAAAATGTGGTTGTATCTACAATAGAACATTATTCTGTAATAAAAAGACCAATAGCTGCTACAACATGGACAAATCTCAAAGGCATTTGTTTTACTTTTAAATTGACAGGTAAAATTGTATTGTTTGCAACATGTTTTGAAATATACATACATTGTGAAATGTCTAAGCATAGATAATTAGCAGTTGCTTTGCCTCACAAACCTGATTTTTGTGGATTAAAGCATTTTAAATATATTCTCTTATCACTGATGAATAACACAACACACTCACTTCACTGCCCCAATACAAACAACAGCTAAGACCTGGCCAGGCCAAAGCCAGGAGATGGGAACTTAAGCCAGGTCTCTTATGTGAGTGGCAGGGACACAACCACTTGAGCTATCACCTGCTTCCTCCTAGGGTGTGCATTAGCAAGAAGATGGAATTGGAAGCCTGAATGAGGACTCAAATTGAGGTACTTGGTGTGGGATACAGCTATCTTAGCATGCTTCTTCTATGGCAAACAGATATCCCTTTCATCTAATAAGAGTTGACTGTTGCCTTTTGTATGTGGTAACAGACAAAAGTCTAATTTTATTCTTTTGATATGGATATTCAGCTTTTTCATCACTATTTATTTGAAAAGCAGAATCTCACACATATGAGAGAGAGAGAGAGAGAAAGCGAGAGAATCTTTTATCCAGTGGTTCACTCCCCAAATACCCACTACAGCCAGGGCTGGGCTAGGCAGAATCTAGGATCCTGGAACTCTGAGTCTCCCATGTGGGTGGCACCTGAACAATCACCTGCCTCCCAGGATGCATTCTGCAGTGAGGTGGATTGGGTGTGGGTGCCCCAAGTTACAGCCTAATTTGTTGTGCCACAACACTCTTCTCAAATTCTGTAACTTTAAGATCATGAAAATAAGAAAATACATGTTGCTCCTGACAAAACATAACCTTTGGGATATGAAATATATTTTAAGGAAGTTGCTATAAAGGCTTTTGGATGTCCTTAGCCTAAAATCCATGAAGCGAAATGAAGAAATGACTCCAAAATCCGACACAAGAAAAATACGATCTGCCCATAGGCATCAGTTGTAGAGCTGTCGAGCAGTCATGGGGGGAGGTTTTTACCTGTAAACCTTATGAATTACTCTGTTTTTGTCAATCATAACACTATAATTTCTGCCGTGGGTTTATTGTCAAGCCAACAAATTTCTCTATGGGTGGAATAAATAGGCTACATTTAGAACTTCAAAGGGTTATTTTAGGACAGCTGGAAGCAGGAGAAAAGGACTGTGAACTTCCTATCTGTGTCTTCACACTTCCAAACTGTAGAGACACATCTCCAACTGCCTCCTGTTATTTCTCATTGAGTGTCCCCATAGTTACCTTATTCTCAACATTTATTTTTCCCTGAACTAAACTTGCTTCCTCTGCCAACTTCCCTGTTTGGCTAAGGCCAAAACTGATACTTGTTTCCTAGCATGTACTATATTCTACTAATATAGCACAAGAATCTCCAACTCATTAACTGTGCAAATGGTCACTCAATGTCTTCTTTATCAGTCTTCCTTATTTGTTATTTCTAATAAGATGTAAGTGCAAGTGTCTTGTTTCAACTTCTGGCAACTCTTTTTAAATGTCAGCAATTGCAAGAACTCTTTTTTTTTCCTCCCAACAAAATCTATTACTTAATGAGTACAAATTTTCTAAGTACAGCTTCAGGAATATAGTGATTTTTCCTGCCATTCTCACCCTCCCACTCCACCTCCTTCTCCCTCTCCCATTCCCAGTCCCATTCTCCATTAAGATTCATTTTCAATTCACTTTATACACAGAAGACCAACTCTATACTAAGTAAAGATTTCAGCACTTTGCACATACACACACACATACAAACCATTTGAGAACAAGTTTTACAGTTAATTCTCTTAAAACAACTTACTGAGGACAGAAGTCCTGCATGGGAAGTAAATGCACAATGACTCCTGTTGTTAATTTATCAATTAGCACTCTTATGTATGACCTCAGTGATCACCCAAGGTTCTTGACATGAGCTGCCTTGGCTGTGGAAGCCTTTTGAATCCACAATCTCCATCAGTATTTAGACAAGGCCATAAGCAAAGTAGTTCTCTCCTCCCTTCAGAGAAAAGTACCTCCTTTGCTAGCCACTTCTTTCCACTGGGGTCTCTCTCACAGAGATCCTTCATGTTTCCCTAGACAGGAAACTCATAGCCATCCTGTTATCTAATTGTTCATTCAAGCCTAGGAATTCTACTTCAGAGATAGCTCTTGAAAGCTCTTGGCCAGTCCTTTCTTATCACTAACATGACCATCATCTCTTGTCAAAATGTAGCACAACAATAATTCTCTTTAAAAATTTTCACCGTGCTTCCACATTCTCTTCATTTTATTCCACTTTTATACTTCCTAATACATGAACATCAACACATTACTTCACTGTACATGCACCTCTGTTATCCTCAAGATAAAAGGAAACGTCTGAGAATGTAATTCAAGAGCTTTGGCCAAATCCCCCAAACATTTCTCCAGTGTCTTTCCCTGGCTAAGTTCCATCCACTGCAATTACTGCAGATGCCTTATTCATTTCCTGGTCTTGTATCCTTCTTCTTCATGTCTCCCTGCCTGTGTGCAGGCACTTTACATGGACATAAGTTATTTTCCATCTTTCCTGTCTGGAAACTATCCCTCTTCATTCGAAATCCGGCTCACATACTGTAGCAAAATAGGTAAGATTTTCTGAGTGCTTTCCAGATTCCACACGCTGTGCTACAGTCTGATTCAGGAGGTCTAGTGGAGAGGCTGGCATTCTGCACTTCTAACAAGCACCTGGGGTGATGCAGCAGGTGCTGATGTGTGGCCTGGACCACAGTTTGAGTTTCATGAAGCTAGAGTGCACTTTCTTTCTTTGTCTTGGTAAGTCCTTCTAAACCTGCACACTGAAAATAGGCACCATCCTTCTAGAAAATGCTAGACTCTTTTCTGTCCAGTGAAAAGAGAGTGATGCCCTTCTGTGTTCTCTGGCTCACTACCTGGAACAGAGCAGGAATTCAACAAATTCTCACCAAGTGAGTTTTACTGTTCATTTTGTCCAATAGAACAAAGCCTTTCTAATGGAATGTCAAAATATGCTGAAGAGTATACATGGCACAATGAAACACAATACAACCTATAAACTAACATCTTGAAAGCCTGTTCTATGTGGAAGGAATTTAGTACACGGAGTAGAGAAAAAAATGATGCAGTCCCTTCCTAAGGATCCTACAGAGAAGCTAGGGAAACAGACCAGCTTCTAGATCACTGTGCCACATAGCACAGTGTGATGCATGGCAAAAATTGCTGTATCAGTGGTGATCATTCTAAAGAGGGAGCCATTTCTACTTGAGTGTTTGGAAAAATTCATGATCATATGGATTGAGACTGGAGAAAATAGATGTTCAATGGAACATTGTGGAGGAATATATTTCCAATAAAGGGACTAGGAAAAATATGGGTCTCAATGTATTTATGAGAGAGGGAGAAAGAGAAGGAGAGATGGGGTGGGGGGAGGGGAGATAGTTAGTTCTTATTTGTTCACTTCACAAATACCTGCAATAGCCAGAAGTGGGATGGGATACAAACTGGGAGCAAGGGATATAATTCAGGTCTTCAATGTGGGAGGTAGGAAACCAGCGACTTGAGCCATCATCTGCTGTTTCTCAGGGTGGGCAATAGCAGGAAGCTGGAGTCTGGCACCAGAACTGGGAATCAAACACAGGCACTCTGATAGGAAACTTGTGTGTCTTAACTAGTAGCTTTTTCTTTTTATTTTCCTCACTAAAACTGACTTTATTCAATGGTGTTCCCAGACTCCACATATTCTTAAGCATGTGTTGATTCTCAGTGCAGCTCTTCCTTGTTTCTTTCCCTCATTACTCCAGTCTCAGGTAAGTATGTGCAATAATACTGTAAGGATATTACAGAATCTCAGTTAATTTACTTAAACAATTTGAAATGTAATAGTCATACTTCTGTTGATGATAAATAATATGTAGCACTTCTCACAACTTATTGAAATATAGCAATAGCTTGGCACTGCAGCCCAGAACTGATCAGTTGGTAAAAATCAATGTGATCAGTATGATAGAAAGCATGGCAGAGAAAAGAGTTGGCAGGAGAGTTGTGTGGGTATGTGTATAGGTCAAGATCCTGACCTATATAGGTCTGGGAACCGAGATCAGCTTTACTGCTCACTGTCTGTACGTCCTTGTGAAGAGCGGGGAGAAAGCTAGTGCTTTTTATTTGTAAGGTTTTGTGAATATTGATTGAGTCAATGAAAGTTAAATGGCTCATAATACACATGCAGTGATTGTTTGCAGTTATTATCCCAGCATGCTTGGTATATAGATATGGCAACCAAATTATTTGTTGTTCAATTCAGGCTCTTCTGAAAGTGAAAGGAGGAATTTTCTGTAATTACAGAGGGGCAACAGGCTTAGTTACCCTAAGTATAACGTATGTTTTCAGACATGAATTTAGGAAGGTGAGTTGGGAGTCATTTATTGACTATTCATCTCTTGGAAATGTGAAAAATTAGGTTTATTCTTTAAATATTTGAAACTGAAACATTTCCATGTGTACCACCTGGTTAGGAAATAATAATAATATTATTTCCAGAGTGGCCCCTTTGCTCCAGTTCCCTAACCTGCATCTTCATTGATCCTTATGTTGATTTTGTAAGGTGGATATTATCCTTGAATTCATTGTAAGTGGCTGCCATAGCAAATTACTATAGACATGGTGGCTAGAAATAACAGCAATTTATTTTCTCATAATCCTGGCTAAAGTGTGTAATCAAGATATCTACACAGTCTTCCTTGTAATGCTCTATGGGAGAATTAGAGCCTACATATTCCTTTGTTTTTCTAATTTCTGGTGGATTCAGGAGTTCTTTAGGTTATGGTTGCATCAGTCTAAACTCTGCCTCTACAGTCACTTTAATTCCCTTCTTTTTTAGTGTGTCTTTTCCACATGTCTGACCCCAAATTCCCATGTAATTATATATGTCTTATAATGACATATGTAGTTATATGAAGAACCCATGGAGAATATACAGGTTAACTTCCCCTTTTCAAGATCTTTGACTTAGTTATCTCTTTTCCAATATAATATTCATTCTTTTTTATATGAAGAAATGTTTATAAGTTCTGGGGCTTAGAATATTAACACATATTTTTGGGCCCACCATTCAATTTAATACGATTCACATATCATAAGAGAGGAAACCAAATCTCAAAAGAGTTCATTCACTGATTTGAGCTACAGAGGTAGCAAGAGAATATACCACAGTTGCATGCCATACCTCTCTGGCTTCAGAGCCCATGTTTTTTTCAGCAAATGCACCACAATATTGCTTAAATACCAAATTTATAATTAAAGTTTCAGGCTGGCAGAGTATACTACCTTTAAAACCAGAAAACTAAAGTTCATTGTAACAGCACATGCTTACAGGAGGATTATTATATAAACCTATGAAAGGAGGAGGTTAGACTCCCAAATATTACCTTATATGAAAAGCTGTGTGAGTCAAGAATCCCATCACATGACACTCTCAAACTGAAAATACATGGATGAGCATCCTGAAACTTTTGAAAATGGAAAAATAAAATAGATAGCATAGAAAATAATTTCTGAAAGTCTTATGCATTCCTGTAGAGTGTCTTAGTATTTGGTGTATATCACAAGGAGCTACTCGTACCTGAGGTTGCATTTGATATTTGTATAGTACACAAATATAGTATGTCTTTGTCACTGTGATGGTTACTGTGCCACTGCCAGGGAGAATCAGATAACGCTGATCATACAATGGAGTAGATTCTGAATATTTATAAAGGATCTATTCTGAGATATTGTTGAATTTCTCATTTTGCTAAAATTTTTACCATATTTAATTGCTTCTATAAAACTTACACAGAGCAAAAATAATATGCGTAATCACAAGTAAATTGCAACAAAGTAGGGCTGAGATGTAGATATTGGGTGCTTGGCAGGCTTACTTGCTATCTAATTGATAAATTTCCAAACTTAGGAAGCACCAGTTCCTAAGAAGTGCCTCAACAAAACGTCTAATATGACATGCCATGAACTTTCAGGCCTGCTCCCAAACAGGATGTGAACATCGAATTTGCAAGTGTCTGTCCTCTGGTGTAGCTTTGAGGTTCCTGGACTAGATGGATGTCGAACAAAAATAAGTAATAGTGAGCTCCATCTAGCAATGACTCAGTTCTTAAGAGGAAAGGAAACTAGGAAATCCACAACAGGCTGATATTTGCCCTGTTTTAATAGTGTCATACCAGAATTACATGTCATCAAAGCTCAAAGCAAGGGGAGCAAGTTTCAGTGCTAAGTTCCATCATAATAAAGTGTGAATCCTAATCAAGAGACAGATGCAGTGAGGTTTTATTTTTCAGATTTTATTCCCACTAACTTTATGAAAGCACACTGAGTGATGTTATTTTTTCTTTCTTTGGTATCCTGTCCCACATTGTCAGCCTGGAGAGTGATCAGAGAGGACCAAATCTCTCAGCATATCAGTTTCTGGGCATGTAAGACGGGTGAGCAGGAGGTGGAAAAGAGCATCATGGCAGCTTTGAGTTTCTCAGGTTTCTTGGAACAAGAATTAGCTCTCTTCTGAGAGTGTTCCAGTACGAAATGATCCATTCCACTCTAAACAACTATGTAGAAAACATCCAGCACATGAATTTGGCTCAACAAAGACAAATACATCTCTTCTCTGTGACCATCTCTGGACCTCCTGTGATTGTGTATCCACTCTCTGCCTTCAGGACACACTATGCATCCTTAGTGTAACATCAGTTTTCTCTCTGCATTACAAATATCTCCAGACTTGCCTCTTTTCTGTTAGGCTGTGAGATTTGTAGCATATTGAAAGTGGGTTTGTTGCATTCTTGTTGGTCAAATTAAATCATATGTTGTCTATTCTCAATGCCTACTGTATATCTGATGCAAAGCTGTTACACAATAAATGTTTGCTAGAGGCAGGCATTTGGTGAAATGGTTAAGACTGCTATCTGGCAGCTTGGCTCTGCTGCCAATTCCAGCTTTCTTCTAATGCAAACCTTGAGGGCAGTAAATGATGCTTCAAATAGACAGGGCCCTGCTATTCATGTGCTAGTTGTGAATTGAGTTGCTTGGTCCAGGCTTTGGTCTGGCTCACCCCTAGCTATTGCAGGTGTTTGAAGAATGAAGCAGCAAATGGAAGATTTCTATCTCTCTCCCTTTCTCTTTGTATTTTGAATGAATAAAAGTTAAAAGAAAGTTTGCGGAAGGAATGACTGAAGACATAGTTAACAAGAGAGTAATAGTATCTGGAGGAAGTCATTTAGAAAAAACAGATAATGGGTGATGATGGGGGATGAACAGGGGAACACACAGAATAACAGGTTCGTTCGTTCTTTCTTTCTTTCTTTCTTTCTTTCTTTCTTTAGATTTATTTATTTGAAAGGCAGAGTTACAGAGAGGCAGACAGAGAGAGAGAGAGAGAGAGAGTCTTCCATCCGCTGGTTCACTCTCCAACTTGCCACAAAGGCCAGAGCTGGGCTGATCCAAAGCCAGGAGCCAGAAGCTAGGAGCTTCATCTGGGTCTCCCACACGGATGCAGGGTCCCAAGGACTCAGGCTATCTTCCTCTGCCTTCTCAAGTCATAGCAGAGAGCTGGAACAGAAGTGGAGCAGCTGGGACTTGAACCAATGCCCAAATGGGTTGCTGGCATTGTAGGCAGAATCTTTACCAGCTATGCCACAAGTGCTGGCCCCAATACCAGGTTCTGGTTGTATTTCTTTTAGTTTCCAATGCATACATGCATGTACATTCACACAGCATGGAAAAGTAGGCATTTCTTAGTGGAAGGACATCTAAGTAAAGAAACAGACAGCTCATGTGACAAGGAGTGAAGGTCTCTATTTTATTGGAAATATATGGGAATAACCTTACCGAGGGAGAAGGTTCATCTCTCCCTCAAAGCTGCAGCAAAAGTAATCTGAAGATGCTTGAACATGATGGAAAGATATGAACAAGGGTGCATAGTCTGGACTTGGAGTCTGTTAAAAAGTATGAGTGCCAGAATGATGTTTTTTCATTTCTTTCTTTTTTTCTTTCTTTCTATTCTAGCCTCAACTCTGAGCAACTCAGAACATAGAGTCCAGACTTTCTAACAACTTCATTTTTAAATGGTTCTGGGTTAGGACACAAATTCCATGACTCCATGGGGTTCAGAGAGAGACAAATGGTGAGAATAGGCACTGCTGTGTCTTCTTGGGTTGTCAAAGTGCTTTTCTTGGAGGAACTCTCAAATTAATGACTCACAGAAAGTGAGCTGGGGGAAATATTTGAGTTTCTCATGCAAATCCTCAGGTAGCCCACCTACCTCGTCTGCTTGCTAATCCTTTCAGCACATGGAAAAATAGTACTGAGGCGGTGTTTGCAGTTGTTATGAGAAATCTTGACTCCAAATGAGTGAGTCCCTTATGTCAAAGATCTCTTTGGAATCTATGTACTTATTCCTTTAAGGCTTCTATTGCTCAAAAACATTTGTATAAAGTTCTACCTTAGACTGGACTTCAGAAACTCTGAAAATCGGCCAGCACCACGGCTCAATAGGCTAATCCTCCGCCTTGTGGCGCCGGCACCCCGGGTTCTAGTCCCGGTCTGGGCGCCGGATTCTGTCCCGGTTGCCCCTCTTCCAGGCCAGCTCTCTGCTATGGCCCAGGAGTGCAGTGGAGGATGGGCCAAGTGCTTGGGCCCTGCACCCCATGGGAGACCAGGAGAAACACCTGACTCCTGCCATCAGATCAGCGTGGTGTGCCAGCCATTGGAGGGTGAACCAACGGCAGAGGAAGGCCTTTCTCCCTGTCTCTCTCTCTCACTGTCCACTCTGCCTGTGAAAAAAAACCAAAAAACAAACAAAAAACAAAAACAAAAAAAACAAAACAAAAGAAAACCAACAAAAACAAAACAAAACAAAAAAAGAAAGTCTGAAAATCACAGTATATTTTCGGTTCCAGACTAATTTAGTGGACTTACATGGAATAGAGTTGATTACTTGCATCCCATCATCTATCACCTGGAAATAGGAACCTATTTAAAGAATTATTTTTTTATCTGAAAGGCAGAAACACAACACACACACTCACACACACTCACACTCACACACATGCCTCTCATCTGCTGGTTCATTCCTCAAATGTGTGACACAGCTGCAGATGGGCCAGGTGCAAGCCAGGAGCCAAGAACTCAATCTAGGTTGTTCATGAGACAGGAAGGGACCCAAATACCAGAGCCATCACATGCTGCCTCCCCCGGGAGAGCACTAGCAGGAAGTTGGAATTGGAAACAAAGCTGGAACATGAACCTAGACACTCCTGTGTAGGAACTGACATCCCAACAGGCACCTTAATCACTATCATGAATGCTTACTCTGCAATCTATCTTTTGTTCGGGGGTAAAAAAAACAAACAAACAAACAAACCTGTGTCCATTTCATGTTATTCCTGATAGAATTGTCCCTCCAAAGGTACCTCCTTCTCTGAAGCAGGCCAACAGAAAATTCACTTCAGTGACCTCTGTGATTCCAGTATGGCAAGGGCTGTATCAACAGTTAGGACCACACAAAGACACAACCAAAACCAGCAAAAGTACTGGGCTACATAATCAGAAGTCAGCTTTAGAATTTGGATGAGAACAGCAGAGTCAATCCAGAAAATTATCTGGAGAGGAACTCATCAATTTAAACCTAGAATCCCATTTGGCTTGCTCTGCCTATGGAAGAATTTGATCCAAGCTAAATAGGGCAAATCCCCAGGATATTGGCAGACTCCTTTCAAAATTTACCCTTAATCCCTTAAATCAAGGATTGATAAGGACATTCTGATAAAGTGGAATACTCATGCTCTAATACTTAGGGAGTAGTCAATTGTCTCTTAAGTGAGAAGGAAAGCTGAGGCAATAGGAGAATTCATTTTGTAAAATGGGATTGGAAAGAATTGCATATTTTGATTTTTTACTTGCTGTAGTTGCCACTATGTTAACAGTTGTGCCTTGGCAGAGACTCAGGGGTTTAAAGAAAGCCCAGGGTTTGTTTCTCTAGAAATCATAGAAGAAACAAAAGAAAGCTGTTTTCATATACTAGAGTGAGTTTGCCAGCAATTATGTTTTGTAAAAAATAAATAATGCATTCTGTTTCCAAAAGGCCCTGACAAACTGAGATAGAAAAAAAAATAAAATCTTTCCTATGGTTTTAGGGTGGCGAGTTTCATGACGGAAATAAAGTGAGTCTGTGTTCTCTAAGTAATTTATTAGCGCATCTTGGCACAGCAGCACTAATGGGCTTGCTGCCAGGTATTCCGAGCTGCAGTTTGTCATGTCTGACTCTTTAGTTCTTTCAAGCAATTGAAGAAATGGCCTTCTGCAGGCTGTCAGTGACAGATTCTAGCTCACTCACATAGATAAAGCTCAATTAGCTTCTGGAAAAAAACATCTTTTAAAAATGCAATGAGCTGCACCATGAAAGATAGGTAGACAACGGCATCCAAAACAAAATAAAATGTTACTGTTGAGCGAAGAACGTGTCCACAATGAGCAAGTGTGTAGTCATCTTAATGGACAGTTCCTTCCACTGAAAACAAAGAGGTGATCATTTCTAACTACTTCAAGTGTTGGGATAGATCTTTGCTTTAGAAGTGTGATAAGGCTGGGAATCCTGACGAAGTTAGTATGTCACTCATTCATACATCATTCACTCATGACTAAGACCCATACTCCATAACTTGCCATGAATTCTAGCCTAGAATACAGGTATCAATATAACCTCTCACTGGGTGAAGATAGCCCTTGAATATGTTGTTTAATCCATGCAGTATTTTAAGATTAGGGCATTTCAATGCATGAAATTTCAGGCTTTTGGCATCTCTTAAAATATTGAAACAGCTGGAGATCTGGATGTGTATTCCTTTGGAAAACAAACCTGTCTTATGCTAAATATCTACAGCATCCTAAAGGAGAGTTATGGCTTTCTCTGCTCACCCCAGAGCCCACAGGCTTGACTCAGTTATTTAAGTACCTGCCTTTCTCTGATTTAGAGAGGCGCCAAGTTTGGAGTTGGAGATTGCAAACCTATCATCTCCAACGGTAACTTTGAGGGCTTCCTTCATCAAAAGTACTTAAGATTCTTGGGTGGGCATTTGGTAAAGAGGTTAAGACATTATTTGGGTTATCCACATTCCATATTGGAATGTCTGGGTTAGAGTCCCGGCTCGACTCCTGATTCCAGCTTCTTGCTGATGCACATCCTGCGAAGCGTAGTGATGGTTCACGTGGTTGTGTCCTTGCCACCCATCTGGGCAACCTTGATTGTGTTCCTGACTCCTGGCTTTGACTTGACGCAGCCTTGACTGTTTTTAGTATTTAGAGAGTGAATGAGTATATGGGAGATCCCTGTCTTTTGACTTTCAAATATGTATGTGTGTGTGTGTGTGTGTGTGTGTCTATCTATCTACTTATCTGTCTGTCTGTCTATCTATCTATCTATGCTTCATGGTGGAGGCCTTCTGGGGAAGCAGGTTAAACTGCTTCTGTGACTCTGGCATCCCATATAAGAGTGCTTGTTTGAGTCCTGGCAGCTTTGTTTCTGGTCCTGCTCCCTGCTAGTGTTCTTGGGGAAGTATCAGATGATGGCTCAAATACCTGAGCCCTTGCCATCCATATAGGAGACTCAGATGGAGTTCCTGGCTCCTGACTTTGGCATTGCCCAGCTCCAGTTGTTGCAACCATTTAGGGTGCAGATTTTCTCTTTCTCACTCTGTATCTCTGTCTGTAACTCTGCTTTTCAAATAAATCTTTATTCTTAAAAGAGCTTAAGACTCTTGTTAAAAATGAAGACTCTAGGGTTCATGCCCCAGATGAAAGAATAAAAATATATGTAAAACATGTTGATTCTGAAACAAATGATCAGACTCACTTGTCTCAAAGACCATATAGAATTATAGTCATTAAAAATGGAAGCTTTAATATTATAAATGTGCTTTTGTTAGGACACTATATAGTCATATATTCCTTTTGTAATTACTCTACCTGACTCTTAATGGCTACATTTCCCCTGGAAACATCAGCTAACCAAAAATTGTTCCACTGAGGAAAACTCAAGTGATTTATTGTTGGTCACTGACTTAGGCCAAAATTTCAATTTGGAGATAAAAATCCACTACATTTTATGAACTAATTTGTTCTCTATGCAAGTGGTTGAACTTGATAGCTATATTTGTTTCTGGCACAGCTAAATCATAATTACAGGAAATAGTTAGCTCTGGAGCTAAAATTCAATTGGCACAAGGCCTAAAGAATTAATAAAAACACTTTATTCATTCCTTCCCTTCCCCCAAGCATACTTCTTGATGTTTAACAGTCCTTAGCCAGGAAGAGTCTGTAATACACATCACAATAAAAAACATAATCTCTCGCTTTTGTATAGTGTTTTAGGGTTTACAAAGTATGCTCAGATACATTATTCTCTTGGATTCTCTCTGCCACCCTGTGAGAGGAGACCAATGAAGAAAGGGGGACTGAGTTTGTGCTGCAAATGGTTATACAGTGAGGAACAGACCCTTAGGGATTACAAATTCAGGTCTGCCTTTATTCAATTACATGAAACTCACATTTGCAGCACAGAACCTGCCACCTATTAAAATATCCTTGTGGATTTACCCCAGCGGGGGGCCACACCTTGTACAGCCCTAAAGAGCATGAGCTGATTCTTTTCAGTTGCTTCAAAGGGCCCTCACAGTAGCTCCTGTTCACTGAGAGAATCCTGCAAATACTGTGTTCTTTTGGGCTTTGCATAATTTGCACTGTTGGTTTAAGGTTATAATCCTTTTTTGGAGTAGTTATTTTTGTAATCATCCCATCTCTTTATTTCCTTTCTCTACACAAAAAATTTGATTAAAAAAATCAGATCTGACCACCTCTGCAAGATCTCAACTTTTCGTAGTCATCTAACATTCTCCCTCCATTCCAGAGACACATAACTCTCTAACATTCTCCCTCCATTCCAGAGATGCATAACTCTCTTTAAACCATGACCTAGACATTTGGGATCTGCAGAAGTTTTAGGTGGACTTTGTGCTTTCCTTGGCTTTTAGGAGGGTCCTCATTTTAAAAATGTGTATATTGTGTGGGGGGTTATACCTAAGTTAATGACTGAGATTGAAAAGGAAATGACTGGATGAAAACTTGAATGATAATCATGATGAAACATTAATTTGAAAAGTTCCCAAATTGCTGACTATATGGGCTATAAACATGAAGCAAGCTGGCAACCAGCTGATAAATCATCCCTCTCATCTTCACCTCCCAAGCAATATTGACCCCTCTTCAAGTTCTGTCTTGTGCCTTGGCAATTAAAAACAAAATATTCTTTATTATTATTAAAATATTTTCACTTTATTTGAAAGGCAGAGAAACAAAGACAGAGAGATTTGCATCTGTTGGTTCACTGCCTAAATGCTCTCTGCTGCTAAGACTGGGCCAGGCTGACATCAGGAGATTGGGTCTCCCATGTGGGTAACAGAGACCCAGCCTCTTGAACCATCATCTTCTGTCTCCCAAAGTGCATTAGCAGGAAGCTGGAATTGAAAGTGGAGCCAAGACTCAAACCTAGCACTTTGATATGGGATGTGGGTGTCACAAACATCAACTTAATGGCTGTACCAAATGCCCATTCCTAGGATGCTCTATACAGATGACTTTTTGGAGTCAGGTGGTCCTAAGCCATGTTAGAAATGCAAGTCATTAACTTTTTAACTTTCATTGAGTTAGTAAATGTAATTTTATCACCTGTGAAAAATGATTTTTGTTAGAACTGAAATCATACATGGTAAGCACTGAGAAATATGCTCAGTATATTTTTCAACACAAGGACTGTTTGCTATAGGAGGGTTATTAATAGGTTGTTCATGTCTGCCAACACCCTAGCTAAAATAAATTCATTAGGGGCTGGCGTTGTGCCGTAGCATGTGAAGTTTCCACCTGCGATGCCTGTATCCCATGTGGGTACTGGATCAAATCCCAGCTGGTTCATTTCAGATCCAGCTCTCTGCTAATGTGCCTGGGAAAGTAGTAGAAGATCCCCCAGGTGCTTGGGTCCCTGCACTCACATGGGAGACCAGGAAGAAGCTCCTGGCTTCATCCTGGGCCAGCCTCAGCAGATGGAGAATTCTCTCTCTCTCTCTCTCTCTCTCTCTCTCTCCTCTGTAACTCTGCCTTTACAAAGAAATAATGTGAGTCTTTTAAAATTTTTTCATTATTTCTTCAAGAAAAAAAGAACTGAGAACAGAATAATGAATAGGAAAATCGGATGGGTTGTGAGGGAGGCAGATCAAGCCCGCATCCCCATTAGTGGACATAGTTTTAAGGTAGCCATAGGAGTGCATAAAGGAAGGAGCCCCAGGACAGGCAGGAACATTACAAGCAACATGGGGGCACAATGGAGGGACAGAGTGGTTCTTCACACACACACACACACACACACACACACAGTGATGATGAAGAACGGGGATTGTGTAGTGAGACTTATCTGAGGTAGTCTTCTGGTTCCTAACACCTAATATCAACATAACTTCTGGATTAATATCAACAGTTTCCTTGCTTGTGAAATTTAAATGATTTTGAATGGCTGAGTATTTGGCCTAGCAGATAAGATGCACTTGGGAAGCTTACATCTCATATTGCCTCGCCTAGGATTCAGTCCTGGCTCTGCTGACAATTCGTTCTCTGATAATTTGCACCCTGGAAGGCAGTAGCTGATGGCTCCAGTGCTTGTGTTCCTATTACCCTTGTGGAAGGCTTGTACTGATTTCCTAGTCTCCAGCTCCATCCTTAGCCCAGCCCCTGCAATTTGGGAGTGAGCCAGCAGATGGTAAATCTCTGTCTCTTGTGTATCTGTTTCTGACTTTCAAGTAAATAAAATTTGAAAATTAAGTTATTTTGAATTTGCAGGGCTGTTGAAAGAGTTTAAAATAACATATGCAAAGTATCTATTACATATTGTGTATGCAGTTTGGTAACTTTAAAAACTGACTTTTTTGCAACTTTCTTGTGGACTGCTTCAATTCAGAGAACTGAAAGGGTACTCAGAGTATTTCAAAAAGTACATGGAAACATGAGATTTAAAGATAAATTTATTTTGGTCCAAAACATTATAAAATCTGTGCATTGTTTTCTCATAGTATTCATTTTCCATGAATTCTTGGAAGATCCATCACAAGCTTGGATTTTAAAATTTTCTTTGTACTGGAATAAAATCTTCATTTTAATTCCATTTCCATGAACTTTTTGAAGTCTCTTGTATGTATATTTGTGTGTGTGTGTGTCTGATAACTAATATTTATTAAGTACATTCTATGTGCCAGAAAATACAGTAATGAATTTAGATGCATGCTTTTTCATTCGATTCACATAATGATACTAGATTAGTTTACAGAGGAAGCAATTGAGGCACATGGTTTCATAAATTGTCCAAGGCCACATAGGTGTTAAGTGGCATATGTGATATCCCAAACTAGAAAGCCTGGCTCCAGAGCCTGCTTTGTGAAGTAGCTTTGGTAAGAAAGGCATTTTAACTAAAGGAAACTGCTCTTCGCTTTCTTAGGACTACGGTTGAATTGCTGGAGTCAGCACACTTTTTGCCAGGGAAAGCTGTTTCTGTGGATGTCAAGAGGAAAATGAGGTTATAGATCTCTTCCTGTCTGGGATGTATATTTATTATATAGTAGGATGTAATCTAAATTATTCACATTTTATATTTTATGGAAATTTTAGCTTCTGTAAATCTGACTTAGATTTCAGTTAGAGTTATGTGCAATAAAATTCATATAAAATCCATTTAAAAGATTAATGATAGATGTATTACAGAAAATTAAGTCTGGGAATTTTATTTTTTTCAAGTTTCCTAGACCTTTCAGTTGCATTTGCAGAGATTGTCTTGGTGACAAAATCTACTCTATATGTGCTGGGCAGTGGCAAGAATTAAGTGTCTTTCTTTGTGGTCCTATGGATATAGAACCTTTCTTGAGAAGAGGAGGTCAATTACTTCTCTTGGAGATAGTTTCTTCTAAGGTTTCTGTAATAAATTCTCCTTTTCACACTTGAAGCAGACATCCTGCAGTGAAATCTCCCACAGGAAAATCATAAAGCTCTATCTGAGCCTCAGATGCAGAATAAGAATAATACATTTTATTTAACAGGTGGTCATTAAAATTAAAAAAATATCAGACAAGTGAAATGACAAAGGCAGGTCTTTGGCTGGATGTTGAAAGATAAACAGATAAATGTGTAGAGAAACAAATCAACACAGCCAGCCAGGATTATTGCAGAGTCATACACTTTGTTAATGGATTTAATACAAGGTGATTTGCCAGGCAGAACACCTTCTTACACGTAATTTACAGTATCTTTGTGGCCAGTGCTGTGGCATAGTGGGTAAAGCTGCCACCTGCAGTGCTGGCATCCCATATGGATGCCTGTTTGAGTCCTGGCTGCTCCTCTTCCAATCCAGCTCTCTGCTATGGCCTGGGAAAGCAGTAGAGGATGGCTCAAGTCCTTGGGCCCCTGCATCCGCGTGGGAGACCAGGAAGAAGCTCCTGGCTCCTGGCTTCAGATTGGCCCAGCTCTGGCTGTTGTGGCCAACTGGAGAGTAAACCAGTGGATAGAAAACCTCTCTCTCTCTCTCTCTCTCTCTCTCTCTCTCTCTCTCTCCCTGTCTCTCTGCCTCTCCTTTTCTCTGTGTAATTCTGTCTTTCAAATAAAAAAAATCTTTTTTAAAAAAATGTACCCTATCTTTGATCAAAAGCAAAGGGAATATCCAACTTTTCACTTTTTTATCTGAGCGTTAGCTGGGTTCCCCTTCTGTCCCTGGACTAGTGCTGAAGCAGCACGGCTGACCTAGACAACGGTCGCATCATGATCCTTGGAGAAGGAGGCTCCAGAGTGACCTTAGCAGTTGAAGAACTGATTGTAGCGAGTCATGATAAAAGGAAATCCGTTTAAATTTAAATGAGAAGATAGATTCAGTAGATACATACTGATAAAATCTCTCAGCAATATTTAACATAATCTGTTAAATAATAATTTATTTATTTATGATCAAGTGTCGGTGAGTTGAGAGATTCAGAGCTGCCAGGGCAAAATGGCTGAACGTGGTTGGTGAAGAGGCAGTCGGTGCTGAGGCTGGACCTTGGACTTCGGGCTCAGACAAACCCAGGTTCAGCTCCTGCATCTTCCCTTTATCCTGCTTGTGTCTTTGGGGAAGTTATTTTCCTTCCTTGAGGTGATTTCTTCATTTGTACAATGGTGAAAATAATGTCTAGCTTGCAAGATTATTATGAAGATAAAATGAGATATATATTTGGAAAATAGTTCTACGTTATTTTAAGAAAGATATGCTATAAGGCTATGTCATATACAAAGAACATCAACATGTTATAAAATGAGTTGCCTCTATGTCAATCAGCTCTTCAACTCCATCTTAGGAAGATATAATCATCAAAAAAAAATCTCATTTCTGTCTTGGTTTTCTCTGGCCAGCTAGTTCAAAAATGATCTCTTCTGTATCCACAGGTCAAAAGTGATCGCTTCTGTAACCACAGAATACCTGTATCTCTGAGTTTTGTCATCTTCTGTCTTAACTACAGTCTGTGTCTCCTTGTCTGTCTGCTTCAACTAGATTACAAACTCCTGAGGGACTGGCCTGTGGATGTTCATCTCTATTAACACATGGTAGGTAACTGATGAATGTGCAAAGGGCATAGCAGGAACAGTCATAAAGGAAATAAACACCATCCGATTTTGAGCTGCTCCCCTCTGCCTTGTCCTCCCCTACGCCCAGACCACTTATGCCCTTTCTTTCATTGTGGAGGACAAGGCTTTTCTCTTCTAGCTAAATCACACTCATCTTTCTCAAGGATCAACTCCATTAGTTAAATAATCTTTCTCTACTTTCTCACACCTTCTTCTCCTTTATATTTTTTATTTTGCTTCTAAAAAGCTATTCATTTTCACCTTACTTGTGAGATGGTGTTGGGGCAGGGGTTGGCAGACACACGCATGCACACACAGATAGAAGACTTTCATCCATGAGTTTATTCCCCAAACGTTTGCAAAAGCTGGCATGGGCTAGACTGAAGCCAGGAGCTGAGAAACCAATCTGCATCTTCCACATGGGTGGCAAGGATCTACAAACTTGAGTCATCGCCTGCTGTGCATTAGTAGTAGCTGGATCTGAAGTAAGGGAGCTGGAACTCTGGTACTCTGATGTGGGATGTGGGTGTCCCAACGGGTACCTTTCCAGGTGAGCCAAACACCTGACACTCTCTTCCTTTATCTTTAACCTTTTAGTGTCCATTACAATGCAAACAACTCCCTCATAAATAGAAGATGCTCAATAGATATTTGTGCAGTAAATGAAAATGACTATGGGAGTGTTTGCCAAAGGGTTCCTTTAAATTTGTTCCTTTGGTGCAGTAGTTTTGAAAAATTTTAGCTATTAAATCCTTTGCTTAAACACAGTTCCACTGGAGACTATTTGACTCATCTCAGTTGCTGTAGTCAGGTAGTGAAAGGCAGGAAGTTCACTCAGAAAGCCTAAGGCTTTGCATGCTTACTCCCTGCTTTTTCCCTTCTGAGTGACAGTGTTTCTATGCAGTACATTTGACTTTCCACAGGCACACTGAAAATGCAATTTCATTGGTGAAAATTATTAATCATAACTTTTGAGGCTCATGTAACTTGCATTTAGATAGCTTGAACCTTGTAGTCTTATTTTCATTTTTAGAGTAGTTCACGTTGTTGACATTTACAATTTTGAGTAGGTAGATCTTCTATTTTGGTAAGCTTCAATAGGACACATAACAATCAAACACAAAGTGGTGCCTGAACTCTTGTTCTCCTTGAGAAGGGTTGGCAGGGCAACAGGATGGAGCCATTATAATCAGGTCTCAGAATATAAGAAACTAGGGATAAATACATTGTCACATGCAAGAAAGAAGAGTCGCTTCCACTAATCCTGTGCTTTTGTTGATGAAGGAACACAAAATACTTCATACACTTTGTTTCCTCAGTACCCAAAGATATTCAATTAAACAGCAAACCCTTATCAAAGCTAATTTTCTTTGCTTTCCCATTAAACCACCAGTGGCTGAATGGGATGAATTGGATGATTTTGCTTGCTGGTTGTTCAGTTTTTCCCCCTCCTGTTACTATCTCTCATTTGCTCTCTTGCTTTTTTGTTCCTACTATGTTCCTTTTGTAGAATAGCTGATGAATATGTTTATATATTTTGCGTTACACATGCAAGAACATGGGTTACCTTTTAATTCCTGTAGCAATAGAAACCACTAAATCCTCTGCTAGAAAGCTAAAGAAACGCATCTGTTGAACACTTCTCCCATAGAAAGTGGGTTGGGTGCTCTTCTGATTTATTACAAGTTAAGTCAACCTCTTTCAATGCTCGCAGTAGCCTTTCTATTATTTAGAGTTTGTGAAGCCTATAGTTGTGCATTTCCCCGCCTGCAGAAAACTGGATTGGTCCTGTTTTAGAAAGGAATGAAGAAAAGGAAAGAACACATGCCTGAAACTTCTGTGCCACTCACCTGCAGATTTATTTGTATCTGTATTTTTTATATATGTTATTTTTTTCTGCTTAGAAGATAAAGCTTATTCTTTCTACACTATCCTGATCCTACTTATCCACATATCACAGAAAACATGAGTTTCTTCATATGAACAGGAAAAATTGTACTTTGTCTTTAGACCATTTCTGTGAAAGTAGCCCTCAAACTCAACATGTTCCCAATGAAGCCCTTATCTCTGTGCAGTTCTGCTTCTCTTTCCATATTTCCTATTTTGTACAGGGAGAGCACTGTCCAGCGCTAACCAGATACTGTGTGTTTGTATTAGGCCATTTTCCCATGGAGGAGCTTTTCCCTAGGCTGTCTCCAGAGTACTTTGCCTTTTGAAAGGTACAACACAGCTGTGTTTGTTTTTCACCCCTGACTTGGTGCAGTGAGTATAGCTCACTGCAAGGCTGTTGGGCTTCTCCAAAGCCAGGTTAGGCATTACAAACTCTTAAAGTCCTCCCATTCCATTTTTTTGTCCTTGGAATTGGGCTTCATCATGCACTTGTTGATAGATATTGTCATGGCCTATTTTGATTCATACCAGCTTCCTCACATATGCAGGGGATTGAGGTTGTCTGAGAGAGAGATCTGGGAATGTGTATTAACTGGATTGTTATGTCCTGTGTTCACTTTGGTGTCGTGCTTTCTCTGTGAACAACTGGATACATTTCAGGCTTCTTTTTTTGTCACTTTATGTTCTTCTGTGAGATGTAACATTCTTAACTCACACAGTCTTATTTTATTTGCACTAATTGATAATCCTGACATTTTAACACTTTACGTTCAAGTTTTCCTTGATTCTCTGTTTTTCCTTACCCCTACCCAAATTGAACAGCTTCCTAACTCATCTCCATCAAATCTCACAGGGTGTATTCTGAATCCAGAATGATCTTTCCAACATGTAAATCAGACATTAGAGATCTGTCTTAATCACTGGATAGAGTTGCTACTGCAGGAGGGTGTCTCCTTCTCCCACATGGGCATCTGATATTGATGTCTGCACTCTCTGCTATAGAATATATTAGGAGCGTCTAGTGCACTCCAGTGATCTGCACATCCACTAGAATTCCTGGCTTGCTTTGTGATTCTCCCGTGATGTGGTGTTTGCACATCTTAGTTATTCTTCAAGTCTTCACCACAGCAGTAAGTTTCCAAAACTGAAGCCATTCCGATTATAGGTGCATTCATTGTGTGTGGGCACCACACAGAGAGACAGGTGTTCTCAGGGGCTCTGTATTTTCTCCTTTGCAGAGAGATACTTCCATTTATGCAGAATGTATTTCTATCCTCAAATATAGAAGCGTATTTAGGTTTATTCCTATAGCCTGTTTCTCTTCAAGGTAAGTAAACAAGTGGAAATTTCAAAATGTTCATAGAATATGAAATTAAAAGTTAATTTTTTGGTGCAAAAATGGTTTTGAAACCCATGCATAATTTTAAAACATCCGTTTATATAAGAAGGAGAGAGCATGAGAGCAAGAGTGAGAGAGAAAGTGAAAGTGAGCGAGCTTCTATCATGGTTCATTCTTCAGATGCTCGCAATGACCAGGATTTGGGGACCAAAACTGGGAACCTGTATCACTGTCCAGTCTTCCATGTGAGTAACAGAAAGCCAACCCGTGAGCCATCATTGCTGCCTCCCAGGGTTCACGTTAGCAGGAAGCTAAAATCCAGAGCTGGAGCTAAATCCGGGTGCTCTGGTGGCCATCCTAGCTGGCATCTTAACCACTAGGCTAAATGCCCACCCCATCCATGCAGGGTTTTTCTCATGAATACACATTTTCCACGAACTTTCTGAAGGGGCTACATATGTATTTTCTTTGACTTAGTTCTTTCACAAGGATAGAGTCAGGGGAAACTCCTAGAAAGCTTTAGGGAAACGCCTTCTTTTCATGAAGCCTGAGCCAATGACTTCCATTCTCTAGTCCAAAAGAAACTGAGCATGATGACCTTTCAAACTCAGTATACATTTTGATTAATTTCCTTTGTTCTTCTGAATCTCCTTCCAATTTTCTTCTGAGAGATACTTTCTTGCTTCACATTTCTAAACCAATCTCATCTCCAAGTCAAAGGC